CCACCTGGGAGCCACCTTTTTGCGATGAGATTGGTTTTCTTAAAGGAGCTTGGCTAGAAGTGGCAGGCCTGTAAGGTGTCTGTGTGTTGATGTTACAAAGGGCCTAGCAACCAACCTAGATGCCTTGTGAGAGGAAGGCCACAGATGGAAAAATCATGATGGTGAAGCTGGTGAAGAACATTCTTCTTGCATGGTGCCTCGTGCCAGTAATCCTGGCACTGTGGGAGGCCAACGAGGCAGGATTGTTTGAGGTCAGGAGTTTAAGACCAGCCTGAGCAAGAGTGAACCACCCTACTCCTTGTCTCCACAAAAAGTAGAAAATTTAGCCAGGTATGGTGGCATGAACCTATAGTCCCAGCCACCCAGCAGGCTGAGGCATGAGTCCAGGATTTGAGGTTGTAATGAGCTATGATGATACCACTGCACTCTAGCCTGGGTGACAGTGAAACACTGTCTCTCTCTCTCTCTCACACACACACACACAACAGTTCCTCTTGACTCCAACACTATTGCCTTTGAAACTTATAGGGAAGACAGATTCCAAGAAAAACACTTATAGGGAAGACAGATTCAACATGCTTTGTGTTTGAGTGTGACTTCAACCTTTTAACTCCAACTTACCCCAGGAGTTCAGGTCTGCCGCATTATAACTTCAAAGGCAGCATACATGTGTCTTGGAAATGTCATCCGCATGGGACACAGTGTGAATGGGCACCCCACGAAACTGCACGGTGCTGCTGCCCAGCCAGTATTCACACAACTGGTTGCCATAATCTAGACATTTTAACTCAGCATGTGGTCTATTCTAGATTTATGGACTTAAACACGCTTGTTTACACAATAGGCTCTTCTAATTTGTTAAGTGTCCTGGTTAATGAATTAACTAGAATATTTTTTTTTTTTTTTGGTCCAACCCCTCATGAAAAAAGAACCTTTTCTGAATAGAGGAAAAACAGAACAGACTAAAATGATTGAACCTGTATTTGATGGTTAGGAGAACCCAAGCTTACAGGGCCCCTTTAAGGAGGTGTGGAGAGAATGGTGTGTAGTGGGAAAGTGGACAGTGGTTATGGTTTGAACGTCAATTCTCTTTATCTGGGATATATCTGTAAGAGGAAAAGATTCTGTGATTCTATTTACATGAAATGTCCAGAATAGGCAAATCTGTAAAGACAGAAAATAGATTAGTGGCTGTCAGCTGCCTTGGTTTCTTTTTGAGGTGATGAAAATCTTTTGGAATTACGTTGTTGTGATGGTTGCACAACTCTGTGCATATACTAAAAACCACTGAATTGTTTACTTTAAAAGGATGATTTTATGGTATATGGTATGCATAGTACATCCCAATAAAGCTATTATTATTATTTTTTTTTGAGACAGAGCCTCAAGCTGTCCCCCTGGGTAGAGTGCCGTGGCATTACAGCTCACAGCAACCTCCAACTCCTGGGCTCAAG